TAACCCTCAAGGGGGCGTACAATATAAGGTCCCTAACCCTCAAGGGGCGTGTACAATCTAAGGTCCCTAACCCTCAAGGGGCGTACAATCTAAGGTCCCTAACCCTCAAGGGGTGTACAATCTAAGGTCCCTAACCCTCAAGGGGCGTACAATCTAAGGTCCCTAACCCTCAAGGGGCGTACAATCTAAGGTCCCTAACCCTCAAGGGATGTACAATCTAAGGTCCCTAACCCTCAAGGGGCGTACAATCTAAGGTCCGTAACCCTCAAGGGGCTTACAATCTAAGGTCCCTAACCCTCAAGGGGCGTACAATCTAAGGTCCCTAACCCTCAAGGGGCATACAATCTAAGGTCCCTAACCCTCAAGGGGTGTACAATCTAACGTCCCTAACCCTCAAGGGATGTACAATCTAAGGTCCCTTAACCCTCAAGGGGCGTACAATCTAAGGTCCCTAACCCTCAAGGGGCTTACAATCTAAGGTCCCTAACCCTCAAGGGGATTACAATCTAAGGTCCCTAACCCTCAAGGGATGTACAATCGAAGATCCCTAACCCTCAAGGGATGTACAATCTAAGGTCCCTAACCCTCAAGGGGCGTACAATCTAAGGTCCCTAACCCTCAAGGGGCGTACAATTTAAGGTCCCTAACCCTCAAGGGATGTACAATCTAAGGTCCCTAACCCTCAAGGGTGTACAATCTAAGGTCCTTAACCCTCAAGGGGCATACAATCTAAGGTCCCTAACCCTCAAGGGGTGTACAATCTAAGGTCCCTAACCCTCAAGGGGCGTACAATCTAAGGTCCCTAACCCTCAAGGGCGTACAATCTAAGGTCCCTAACCCTCAAGGGGCGTACAATCTAAGGTCCCTAACCCTCAAGGGGCGTACAATCTAAGGTCCCTAACCCTCAAGGGGGAGGATGTACAATCTAAGGTCCCTAACCCTCAAGGGGTGTACAATCTAAGGTCCCTAACCCTCAAGGGATGTACAATGGTCCCTAACCCTCAAGGGGCATACAATCTAAGGTCCCTAACCCTCAAGGGGCGTACAATCTAAGGTCCCTAACCCTCAAGGGGCGTACAATCTAAGGTCCCTAACCCTCAAGGGGCGTACAATCTAAGGTCCCTAACCCTCAAGGGGTGTAAAATCTAAGGTCCCTAACCCTCAAGGGGTGTACAATCTAAGCTCCCTAACCCTCAAGAGGCGTACAATCTAAGGTCCCTAACCCTCAAGGGATGTACAATCTAAGGTCCCTAACCCTCAAGAGGCGTACAATCTAAGGTCCCTAACCCTCAAGGGATGTACAATCTAAGGTCCCTAACCCTCAAGGGGCATACAATCTAAGGTACAACCCTCAAGGGGCGTACAATCTAAGGTTTTAACCCTCAAGGGGCCAAATGAACAATCTAAGGTCCCTAACCCTGGCAAGGGGTTTACAATCTAAATGTCCCTAACCCTCAAGGGGTGTACAAAAAATATAGATGGGTGGATGATCTAAGGTCCCTAACCCTCAAGAGGCGTACAATCTAAGGTCCCTAACCCTCAAGGGGTGTACAATCTAAGGTCCCTAATCCTCAAGGGGCGTACAATCTAAAAACCCTCAAGGGGCGTACAATCTAAGGTCCCTAACCCTCATATACAATCTAATATCCCCTATATATCAAGGGTGTACAGTCTAAGGTCCCTAACCCTCAAGGGGTGTACAATCTAAGGTCCCTAACTCACATTCATACAACACATACTAGGGCAATTTAGACAGGAGCCAAATAACCTAGCAGCATGACTTTTAAAGTGTGGGAGGAAATGCCGAGTAACCAGAGGAAACCCACGCAGGCACAGGGAGGATATTTAGGCAGCCATTCAAAATGCTATAAAGAGAAAAAAAACTGATACAATTTAACTGATCCAAATGCTATCCAATAAGAAAAAAATGGTGGATTTTAACCATTCCAAAATTTCCATTAAAAAAAAAAAATATGGATATGAGGGTTTCAACCATTCCAAACACAATCCATCAAAAATAAATAAATAAATAAAATGAAAACTGGTGTATTTTAAATATTCCAAACACTATCCATAAAAAAAACTGGTGGGTTTTAATCATTACAAATATTACAAAAAAGGCAGGTTTTAACCATACCAAATGCTAAACAAAATAAAAAAAAAAAGAAAACTGGCATGTTTTAACCATTCCAAATGCTATCTCATAAAAAAAAGTCACAAAAAATATAGATGGGTGGATTTAACCATTTCAGACACTATCCATAAAAAAACTGGTGGGCTATAACCATTCCAAATGCTTTATATATATATATATATATATATACTGTATATATATAAAATGACACAGTGGGTTTTAACCATTGAAAATATTACAAAAGAAACAAAAACTGGTGGCTTTTAAATATGCCAAATGCGATCCATAAACAAAGATGGGTTTTAACCATTCCAAATGCTATAAAGGAAAAAAAAACTGATAGGATTTAACTGATCCAAATGCTATTGGCAGTGGCTATCCAATAAAAAAAATGGTGGATTTTAACCATTCAAAATATTAGGAAAAAAATGTGGATGGGTGGGTTTTAACTATTCCAAAAACAATCCATTAAAAATAAATAAATAAAACGAAACCGGTGTACTTTAAATATTCCAGACGCTATCCATAAAAAAAAAACTGGTGGGTTTTAAGCATTTCAAATGCTATCCATAAAATATGGTGGGTTTTAATCATTACAAATATTACAAAAAAAAGGCAGGTTTTAACCATACCAAATGCTATCCCATAAAAAAAAAGTCACAAAAAATATGGATGGGTGGATTTAACCATTTCAGACACTATCCATAAAAAAACTGGTGGGCTATAACCATTCCAAATGCTATATATATATATATTTATATATATATATATATATATACATACATACATACAAACATATATAATGACACAGTGGGTTTTAACCATTGTAAATATTACAAAAGAAACAAAAACTGGTGAGTTTTGAACATGCCAAAATTGATGGGTTTCAACCATTCCAAATGCTATAAATATGGTGGGTTTCAACCATTAAAAAAAAAAAAAAAAAAAAAAAAAAAAATATATATATATATATATATATATATATAAATATATATATATATATATAAATAATATAAATGGGATTTACCTATACAAAACACATCCAAATAAATAAATAGAAAATGGCAGGTTTTGACTATTCTAAATGCTATTAAAAAAAACAGTTGAATTAATGCTATGAAATAAAAAACTGATGGATTTTAATCAATCTACATACTATTCCCCCCACCCCACAACAATGGTGGGGATTACCCATTTCAAATGCTATAAAAAAACTGGTAGGTTTTAACATTCAAAATGCTATCCAAAAAACAAAAACATTTTTTCAAAAAGTATAAGTTTTAACCATTCAAATACTATTTGTAAAAAAACAAACACAGGGTGGGGTTTAATCTTTTCAAATGCTGTTATAACAAATGAGTTAACTATTCCAAATGCTGTCCATAAAAAAATGGTGGGTTAAGTATTCTAAATGTTACAAAAACTGGCGGATTTTAACTATTCTAAACTCTATTAAAAATATTCCAAATGTTATCCAAAAAAAGGTGGGTTTTATCTATTTCCAACGGCTCCGTCTCCGCCACCCCCCTCTGCCAATCCCTCCACTGGCTTCCGATTGCGCAACAGATCAAATTCAAAATCCTAACACTGACGTACAAAGCTGTCCACCATACTGCCCCGAACTACATCACCACCTAATATCCAAGTACCGCCCTACAGGCACTCTCCGCTCCTCACAAGACCTCCTTCTCTCTAGTTCCCTGGTCTCCTCCTCCCATGCCCGCCTCCAGGACTTCTCCAGGGCGTCACCCATCCTCTGGAACTCCCTGCCCCAACCCATCAGATTATTACCTACTCTCCTCTCCTTTAGGCGCACCCTGAAAACCCACCTCTTCAGGGAAGCCTACCCCACCCCCTGCTAACTTGCCGACCTCCTCCACTCTTCCTACCACTCCATCCCCCACAGCTATCTCCTCCTGTGCCACCATCCCCTCCCTCCTAGATTGTAAGCTCCAAGGAGCAGGGCCCTCGATCCCCTCATGTTTTGCATTGTATTGGTATTGTTCTGTCACATGTTCTGTCCCCCTCTGTAATGTACAGCGCTGAGCGAACTATTGGCGCTTTATAAATACTGTATAATAATAATAATATTTCAAAGGCTATTAAAAAGCTAAAAATAAACTAGCAGGGTTTCACAATTCCAAATGCTATAAAAAAAAAAAAAAAAACTGGCAGTTTTTAACGATTTCAAACACTATCTATATAAAAAACAAAAAACAATTATACATAGAAAATTTCGAATGTTATCCATAAACAATGCTGAGGTTTCCATTCCAATTGCTATAAAAAAAAAAAAAAAAAAAAAAAACAAACAACTGACAGGCGGTGACCATTCCAAATGTTATAAAAACTGGTGAAAATTTAACAATTACAAAAAAAAAAAAAAAAAAAAAATACAATACATAAAATATTTCCAAATGCTATCCTTAAACAAAATGGTGGCTCCTAAGCATTCAAATTGTTATAAAGAAAAAAAAAAACTGATGGACTTTAACCTTTCCAAATGTATGTAAAAATTTAAAATACTGTTGGGTTTTAACCAAATAAAATGCTATTTCCCCCCCTAAAAAAATAAAAAAAAAATGTTTTAACAATTTAACACTGTCCAGTAATAAATGGTGAATTTCAACTATTCCAAATGCCCAGTTTTAAGCAGAACTTCACATTTGCTCTTTGTTCTAACTTGCTGTCCATGTCCTTTCATGCAACAGGGGTCGGCATCTGTGCAGACGGCTGCCATTTTCTTGAAGTCTACTGGAACCCAACAAGCTGATCCTGTCTGTCTTGCATCAGGGGGAGACCAGATATAGTGAATGCAGGGTCCAGGGAGACCAGATATAGTGAATGCAGGGTCCGGGGAGACCAGATATAGTGAATGCAGGGTCCAGGGAGACCAGATATAGTGAATGCAGGGTCCGGGGAGAGCAGATATAGTGAATGCAGGGTCCGGGGAGACAGGATATAGTGAATGCAGGGTCCGGGGAGAGCAGATATAGTGAATGCAGGGTCTCCGGGGAGACAGGATATAGTGAATGCAGGGTCCAGGGAGAGCGGATATAGTGAATGCAGGGTCTGGGGAGACCAGATATAGTGAATGCAGGGGTCCGGGGAGACCAGATATAGTGAATGCAGGGTCCAGGGAGAGCGGATATAGTGAATGCAGGGTCTGGGGAGACCAGATATAGTGAATGCAGGGTCCGGGGAGAGCAGATATAGTGAATGCAGGGTCCAGGGAGAGCGATATAGAGAATGCAGGGTCCGGGGAGAGCGGATATAGTGAATGCAGGGTCCGGGGAGATCAGATATAGTGAATGCAGGGTCCAGGGAGAGCGACCAGAGGGAGATCAGATATAGTGAATGCAGGGTCCGGGGAGAGCAGATATATTGAATGCAGGGTCCGGGGAGAGCGGATATAGTGAATGCGGGGTCCAGGGAGACGGATATAGTGAATGCGGGTCCAGGGGAGACCAGATATAGAGAATGCAGGGTCTGGGGAGACCGGATATAGTGAATGCAGGGTCCGGGGAGATCAGATATAGTGAATGCAGGGTCCGGGGAGACCGGATATAGTGAATGCAGGGTCCGGGGAGACCGGATACAGTGAATGCAGGGTCCGGGGAGACCGGATATAGTGAATGCAGGGTCCAGGGAGACCAGATACAGTGAATGCAGGGTCCGGGGAGGCCGGATATAGTGAATGCAGGGTCCAGGGAGACCAGATATAGTATATGCAGGGTCCGGGGAGAGCGGATATAGTGAATGCAGGGTCCAGGGAGAGCGGATATAGTGAATGCAGGGTCCGGGGAGACCGATATAGTGAATGCAGGGTCCGGGGAGAGCGGATACTGTGAATGCAGGGTCCTGGGAGACCAGATATAGTGAATGTGGGGTCCGGGGAGAGCGGATATAGTGAATGCGGGGTCGGGGGAGAGCAGATATAGTGAATGCAGGGTCCGGGGAGAGCGGATATAGTGAATGCAGGGTCCGGGGAGACCAGAATATAGTGAATGCAGGATCCGGGGAGAGTGGATATAGTGAATGCAGGGTCCGGGGAGAGCGGATATAGTGAATGCAGGGTCCGGGGAGAGCGGATATAGTGAATGCGGGGTACGGGGGACCAGATATAGTGAATGCAGGGTCCGGGGAGACTGGATACTGTGAATGCAGGGTCCGGGGAGAGCGGATATAGTGAATGCAGGGTCCGAGGAGAGCGAATATAGTGAATGCAGGGTCCGGGGAGACCGGATATAGTGAATGCGGGGTCCGGGGAGACCAGATATAATGAATGCAGGGTCCGGGGAGAGCGGATATAGTGAATGCAGGGTCCGGGGAGAGCGGATATAGTGAATGCAGGGTCCGGGGAGACCAGATATAGTGAATGCAGGGTCCGGGGAGAGCAGATATAGTGAATGCAGGGTCTGGGGTCTAGTAACACTTTAAATATGTATAAATACATCAGTGGTTCATATAGTGAACTCGGTGTAGTTATTCCCCCTGAGGTCATCACAGAGGACATCACAGCGCTCTTTATGTCTGGAGGAAAAAATATTTTTTTCTGCAAACACGGAAAGGTTTCTTCACAGTGAGAGCTGTGAGAATGTGGAATAGACTCCCTCAAGAGTTGGTTGTGGCCAGCTCAGTGGATTGCTGTAGGAAAGTCCTGGATTCTTTCTAGATACACAGAATATAACTGGATATAACATTTATAGGGAAAGTTGATCCAGGGAATATCCGATTGCCTCTCGGGGGATCAGGAAGGAATTATTTCCCTGCAGGAGCAAATTGGATCGTGCTTTGCTGGGTTTTTTGCCTTCCTCTGGATCAACTGTGGGTGTAGGATTGTGTCTATGGGATTGTATGATTTTTTTTATTATTATTTATATTATAATACGGAATTTATATAGTGCTTTCCAATATAAAGGGAGATAGTAAATTTACAATACAATAAAAAGCGTGATCGGCTTCCCTGAGATGAGTTTTCAGGGATCGCTTAAAGGCAGCCACAGTAGGAGCTAGCCAGACAGATTTGGGTAGGGAGTTCCTGAGGAAGGGAGAGGCTCTGGCGAAGTCCTGGAGATGAACATAGAAGGAGGAGACAAGGGGGCTTTCCCTTTTATTGGTTGAACCAGCTGGACTTGTGTCTATTTTTTCAACCAGACTAACTAGTACCTTTCCAACGATGAAACATTGTTGCAGATTGTTCTCTTTATTTATGGATCAGACTTTCCGCTGCTCATGTGAAGGAAGACGGTCCCCTGATCTGATGTCACTGCAGAATGATTGATGGATGAGAAGAACAAGTCCCGGAGACATCAGTTTAATGATACATCTGTCAGGAGCCGGGGCCCCCGGAGCCCTTATCTCCCTCCCTGCCACCAAGGACAGAGAAATGTCCCTCTAACAGGCGCTGCGGCTACATGTGCTCTGTATGTTCCAGCTGGTGGATGGATTTTCAGCCGGCGGTTTTTCTGCACGAGGCTTTTTTCCAGCTAATCTGCCAGTTCCTAGGTTTTCCTGTATGCTTCTGCAGATAGACAGTTAAATCTGAACTCCGACCTTCCCTCCAGTCCTGCAGAGTTGTAGCGGCTCTTCTCCTAGACTGAAATTGCTTCCTCTGATTTCACCGCACACTGTGAGCTTCTCACAATGTGCATTAGAAGCTGCAGCAAGTCCGATAAAGCTCCGCCCCATTTCCTGGCTGGGGGACGTCCAGCATCCTCTAGCTCTTTGCTCTTCAGCCTGACTGCCCCCCCCCCCCCCTCCTCATTAATTGGATTTCAGTTCTTTCAATCACAGAGGCTTGGAATCGCCTAAAACGATCTGCATGCAAATACAATCTACCCAAGAACACCCACTCCTACAGACGTCTGCTCATCAAGGCTTTTTGATCCTTGCATACTGTAACTCCTCCGCACTGCTTGCATGAGGACTGAGGGCTCTTGAGAGGAGTACTAAGGCAGGGTGGTGTGATGTTTTCAGGAAGCTATGGCCCTTCCCAACAGCCATTATCTGTCTGCATTGCATAGTGAAACACAGAGATCCAGTGATTACATCCCTGGATATAAAATAAGTAATGTAATGAAAAGGGGAAGGTTTTATTTAAAAAGTTCATTAGTATGTTGATGGGGGGGGGCAAAACATAAACAGATTTAGCTTTAATGTAACTTTCTAATTTCATTTTATAACCTGTAACACTTTGACATGTAAGGGGGGTGACAGATTCAATGGGGACGCATCATTTTCCATCATTATTCTTTATGCGGCTGGTTTCAATGCGGCTGTTTAATCTGAAAGAGAAACTATATGGGCCAATTCACACCCATGCACGATATAACATATGCAGGCTTTTTTTCTAAAAAAATAGGTGCATGAACGCCCCCATCTGAGTCACCCCTTGTTTCCACCCCGCCCACCTCTGAGCACCGTCCCTTGGTTTCCACCCCGCCCACCTCTGAGCACCGTCCCTTGGTTTCCACCCCCTACCCACCTCTGAGCACTGTCCATTGGTTTCCACCCCCTACCCACCTCTGAGCACCGTCCCTTGGTTTCCAACCCACCCACCTCTGAGCACCGTCCCTTGGTTTCCAACCCACCCACCTCTGAGCACCGTCCCTTGGTTTCCAACCCACCCACCTCTGAGCACCGTCCCTTGGTTTCCAACCCACCCACCTCTGAGCACCGTCCCTTGGTTTCCAACCCACCCACCTCTGAGCACCGTCCCTTGGTTTCCAACCCACCCACCTCTGAGCACCGTCCCTTGGTTTCCAACCCACCCACCTCTGAGCACCGTCTCTTGGTTCCACCCCCTACCCACCTCTGAGCACTGTCCCTTGGTTTCCACCCCGTCCACCTCTGAGCACTGTCCCTTGGTTTCCACCCTGCCCACCTCTGAGCACAGTCCCTTGGTTCCACCCCCTACCCACCTCTGAGCACTGTCCCTTGGTTCCACCCCTACCCACCTCTAAGCACCGTCTCTTGGTTCCACCACCTACCCACCTCTGAGCACCGTCCCTTGGTTCCACCCCCGTCCCACCTCCGAGCACCTTCCTTTGATTCCACCCCTACCCTCCTCCAAGCACCGTCCCTTGGTTCCACCCTCTGCCCACCTCCAAGCACCGTCCCTTGGTTCCACCCCCTATCCACCTCCGAGCACCTTCCCTGGGTTCCACCCCCTACCCACCTCTGAGCACCGTCCCTTGGTTCCACCCCTGTCCCACCTCCGAGCACCTTCCTTTGGTCCCACCCCTTACCCTCCTCTGAGCACCGTCCCTTGGTTCCACCCCCTATCCACCTCCAAGCACCGTTCCTTGGTTCCACCCCCTATCCACCTCCGAGCACCTTCCCTTGGTTCCACCCCCTACCCACCTCTGAGCACCGTCCCTTGGTTTCCAACCCACCCACCTCTGAGCACCGTCCCTTGGTTTCCAACCCACCCACCTCTGAGCACCGTCCCTTGGTTTCCAACCCACCCACCTCTGAGCACCGTCCCTTGGTTTCCAACCCACCCACCTCTGAGCACCGTCTCTTGGTTCCACCCCCTACCCACCTCTGAGCACTGTCCCTTGGTTTCCACCCCGTCCACCTCTGAGCACTGTCCCTTGGTTTCCACCCTGCCACCCTCTGAGCACAGTCCCTTGGTTTCCACCCCGCCCACCTCTGAACACCGTCCCTTGGTTCCACCCCTACCCACCTCTGAGCACCGTCTCTTGGTTCCACCCCGCCCACCTCTGAGCACTGTCCCTTGGTTCCACCCCTACCAACCTCTGAGCACCGTCTCTTGGTTCCACCCCCTACCCACCTCTGAGCACTGTCCCTTGGTTCCACCCCTACCCACTAAGCACCGTCTCTTGGTTCCACCACCTACCCACCTCTGAGCACCGTCCCTTGGTTCCACCCCCGTCCCACCTCCGAGCACCTTCCTTTGATTCCACCCCTTACCCTCCTCTGAGCACCGTCCCCTTGGTTCCACCCTCTGCCCACCTCCAAGCACCGTCCCTTGGTTCCACCCCCTATCCACCTCCGAGCACCTTCCCTTGGTTCCACCCCCCTACCCACCTCTGAGCACCGTCCCTTGGTTCCACCCCTGTCCCACCTCCGAGCACCTTCCTTTGGTCCCACCCCTTACCCTCCTCTGAGCACCGTCCCTTGGTTCCACCCCCTATCCACCTCCAAGCACCGTTCCTTGGTTCCACCCCCTATCCACCTCCGAGCACCTTCCCTTGGTTCCACCCCCCTACCCACCTCCAAGCACGTTCCTTGGTTCTACCCCCTACTCACCTCTGAGCACTGTTCCTTGGTTCCACCCCCCTACCCACCCCCTACCCACCTCCGAGCACTGTCCCTTTGCTCCACCTCCACCCTTCTCTGAGCACTGTCCCTTGGGTTTCCACCCCTTACCCTTCTCTGAGCACTGTCCCTTGGTTACACCCTCCCACCTCTGAGCACCGTCCCTTGGTTCCACCGCCTACCCACCTCCCAGTATGGCTCCTTTTAGGGGTATCGGCCCTAAGGCTTTGCACACCTGGAATGCATTCGGTGGGTTTAAATGGAAAGTTCAGTTGAGTTTAACCACTTGCCGCCAACTTACAGTACATTTACTGCGAGTGGGCAGTAGCTGCAGGCTTGGTAACGTAAATGCATGTCACCGCCTGCTTCTGGGTTTTTGGGTGTGCTTGTGTTTGCCCTCTGCTGACCCATGCTGTGATTGGATGCAGCATGAGTTTGTCAGCAGGTTTCCGCCAATGATTTTGACTGAAACCTGCTGATCCAATAATTGCTTACAAACACACAGAACAGCAAAAGCAGGGAGAAAAAACAACCAGATCTGTGAGTAGAAGCAGCAAATGTTATACTTGTTAGGCAAACAGTTAACCCTTTGATTGCCCCTTGATGTTAACCCCTTCCCAGCCAGTGTCATTAGTACAGTGTACATTACTGTCACTGATCACTGTATTAGTGTCACCAGAAACATTAGTGTCAGTTAGTATCCCTCCCAGCCAGAGTCTGTTAGCACCAGATTGCCCACCACACTATCACAGTCCCGCTATAAGTCGCTGATCACCATCAATAGCAGCATCTATATCTGCGTAAATCCCAGTATATATATACAGTGAGGGAAATAAGTATTTGATCCCCTGCTGATTTTGAATGTTTGCACACTCACAAAGAAATACTTATTTCCTTCAATGTACCAAAGTTTGTAGACGCTATAACTTTCACACAAACCAATCAATATACACTTATTGGAATTTTTTTACCAAAAACATGTAGCAGAATACATTTTAGCCTAAATTTATGCAGAAATTAGATTTTTTTTTTATTGGATATGTTTTATAACAGAAAATAGAAAATATGATTTTTTTAAAGTTTTTTGGTCTTTTTCATTTCTACAGCAAACAATAAAAACCCCAGTGCTGATTAAATGCCACCAAAAGAAAGCTCTATTTATATGAAAAAAAATTATATACATTTCAGTTGGGTACAGTGTAGCCTGACTGAGCAATTTCCAGTTAAAGTGATTTTAAAGGCTTACATTACAAAAAACAAAACAAACAAACGTGTCTATACTTTCCTGCAGTGTGCAGTGGTTTGCACAGAGCAGCCCAGATCATTCTCTTCTTGGGTCCCGTGCCCTTGCTCCTGGCCCCTTCCTCCTGTCAGGTGCCCCCACAGCCAGCAGCTCGCTATGGGGGCACTCGAGCACGCGCACTCACCAGCTGCTGTTCCGTGTGTCCATTCACACATGAATCCGCGCCCCCTCTCTTCTCATTGGCTCACTGGCTGTGATTGACAGCAGTGGGTGCCAATGGTTCCTGCTGCTGTCTCAGCCAATGAGGAGCCAATGGGATAGCCAAGACTCCAGTGCACATCACTGGATCGAGAGGGAGCTTAGCCGAGTATTGGGGGGGGGAGGCTGCTGCACAGAGAAGGTTTTTTACCTTAATGCAAACCTTGAGCCTTTACAATCTCTTTAAAGTAGTGCAATGGTGAATAGCAAAAAAAAATGCCCTGGTCATGAAGAGGGTAAAACCTTCCAGAGGTCAAGTAGTTAATGCAGTACTGGGACAAGGTCATCCGGCAGCCAGGGCAAGGATCCAGAACTGAGCCCCCCTCTCCCACTGTTAATACATGCTGTAGAATGGGTGTACCCAGGGGTGGACTGACCATTTAGCCACTCGGGCACTGCCCGAGGGCCCAGGGTCAGTAGGGGGCCCCATGAGATGCCCCTAGTACCTTTCATAGGCTTTTTTGGGTGTGATTTGAGAGTGGGTGAGGACACAGGGGCCTCATGATCCCCTATTGCCCGGGGGCCCCATAAGTTGTCAGTCCGCCCCAGGGGCAGACTGACAACTCATGGGGCCCCCGGGAAATAGGGGATCATGGGGCCCCTGTGTCCTTGCCCAAACTCAAAAAAGCCTATGAAAAAGGTACAAGGGGCATTTCATAGGGCCCCCCACTGACCCCAGGCCCTCAGACAGTGCTCAAGTTTCCAAATGGTCAGTCCGCCCCTGGGTGTACCACGCTGCATACATTCTTTGCCCTCTTGCTTCATTATGCCTAGGGCAGCTGCCCTCCTGCCCACCCCTTGTCCCGGCCATGGGGTAATGTGAGTGGGGGGGTGGAAACGGAGGGGGCGCAGATTTTTAACTTGTTCTTGCAGCCCTAAGCTGAAAACTACCATCTCCAAAAGGCATCTCTGCCTATCTCTCCATCTCATGTCTAACATGCAGTTTATGAATATATATAAGCCCACAACCTGAAGACACGGCGGCCCGGCACTCTACATGCTGCGGTCTCATTGTGTGGACGGATCGGGTGGTTCTGCCTGTGAGCGTTCACATATCACAAAGCAGAATCTATACCATGACATTAGAGAGGGTGAAGGTCTCGCCGGCTCCGTCAGTCACACAAAAGGCTGAATGGGCCGTCGCCTCGCTCCCTGTCCTTTGTCTCAGCGTCCTCTGTGACCTTGCACCCTCGTGCCGCAGTCGAAAGCTGTTACAGGAGTCATTAAAGTGCGTTATCAGCTATCACGATCGCAGGGCGACCTTTATTCAACGCTGAGCGGCTCGCCCGGTCGCGTGAGAGACGGCGCCGATGAAATGAAGCCTACGGTGGCTTGTAATCATGCTTCTGAATTTTAATATGTCCTAGGCTAAATCATTTTTTATCAGAGCTAAACAAGCGTGGTTGGAGAGAGTCCCTCTCGGGGTAACGGTCGGTGATACAACAATGTGACGGGGGCACGCTGCTTGCCAATAAATGTCATCTATTTATCATCCAGACACAGCCAGATCATGTGGGAGCCCCGTCTGTATATTATCCTTTATGGCCCTCCGCTGTGCATATTGTAGCATGGTGTAATGATTGGAAAGGATGGTTTTGTATAATTATTTCTTTCTTTATTGTGATCAAGACTAAAAAACAAATTCAATATTAAGAAAAAGATTTTTCGAATTCTTCTTTTGAGCCAGCAGGTGGAGCATGAGGCTCCTTTTCACAGTTTCCAGACTCTCATTTTGCTGTGTAAGGGCTCATGTACACGTTAGGCAGCACAGTGGCTAAATGGTTAGCAGTTCCGCCTGGCAGTACTAGGGTCGTTGGTTCAAATCCCAACCACGGCACCACCTGTCTGGAATTTGCTTGTTCTCCCTGTACCTGTGTGGGTTTCCTCTGGGTACTCCAGTTTCCTCCCACACTCCAAAGACATGCTGGTAGGTGAATTGGCTCCTGTCTAAATTGTCCCTAGTATGTGTATGTATGAATGTGAGTTAGGGACCTTAGACTGTATGCCCCTTGAGGGTTAGGGACCTTAGATTGTACACCCCTTGAGGGTTAGGGACCTTAGATTGTATCTCCTTGAGGGTTAGGGACCTAGATTGTATGCCCCTTGAGGGTTAGGGACCTTAGATTGTATGCCCCTTGAGGGTTAGGGGCCTTAGATTGTACACCCCTTGAGGGTTAGTGACCTTAGATTGTACACCCCTTGAGGGTTAGGAACCTTAGATTGTACGCCCCTTGAGGGTTAGGGACCTTAGATTGTATGCCACTTGAGGGTTAGGGACCTTAAATTGTACGCCCCTTGAGGGTTAGGGACCTTAGATTGTACGCCCCTTGAGGGTTAGGGACCTTAGATTGTACGCCCCTTGAGGGTTAGTGACCTTAGATTGTACGCCCCTTGAGGGTTAGTGACCTTAGATTGTACGCCCCTTGAGGGTTAGGAACCTTAGATTGTACGCCCCTTGAGGGTTAGGAACCTTAGATTGTACGCCCCTTGAGGGTTAGGGACCTTAGATTGTACGCCCCTTGAGGATTAGGGACCTTAGATTGTACGCCCCTTGAGGATTAGGGACCTTA